CAGAAACGCTCACAATCCCAGCTTCCGCCAAATTAAAACTTCCCCAGAACTTGTCTTTCTAACATGCCTTTCAGACTACACTACAAATAGCCAAGACATGGAACCTCGCATGAACTATGAGATTTTTTGTGAGCTCTTAAATCAGCTGCCACCCAAAAGAGTTTAATTGCTGTTCACAAACTACGACACCTTCATGAAGGAGTAGGTAGGAGCGGTCTTCATCACCACTCCCCTAACAGTGTTAGAGCTCCTGTCCCAGAGGCAAGTCCCAGAGCAGAGAAGAAGCCCTTCACCATACTGCTTCACCAGCAAAATCGAAATTATTTACCTGTACATCTTAATTTGCTTTTTCCAGTATACACACTAACTGTAATGAATCTTACTGTATAAGGCAAGTAAGACATTTTGAGATGTCGTTGTTGTTGTTGAGTACCATGGAGTTAGAACCAACTGATTCTCCAGCAAGTTTTCAGAGGCAATTAATTGCATGGAGAAGATTGATTGCCCATCCTTCCCCCTCAGAGCATCCAGTGTATTTGAACTGTGTGCCTTCAGAATTGCAGCACAGATTCTTACCATTAGGCCACCAGAGCTCATAATATATTTTATATCCTAAATAGATAGATAGATAGATAGATAGATAGATAGATAGATAGATAGATAGATAGATATCTGTGAAAGAAAAACAAGAGGGAGATGTAGGGGTTAAGCTGACCAAGGCAGAAGCTCCGGGGTTAAGACAAAACAAACACTGGGATACTTAAGATCTCGATTCTCATGCTGAAGGTGTGAGGACACTCAAGCACGAGTTCCTTGCCCCTTACCTCTTGATTAAGAAAAATCTTGAGTAGTTCATTCCAATCGCTAGGCACTTTCCTCTGTTCAGAGAAGTGTGACATCTTCCTGTGCAATTTACAGCCTCTGAAAACCCACAGGAGGGTCAGCTATGAGGCTCAACAGCACATAACAATGTGACATCTGGTGGGCTCTGCTCCACAGCAATCTTATGTATAACAGAAGGTACTGTTGCTGGGTATGCCGTCTTCACGACTTTTCTCAATTCTTCCCTGTTATCCTGGCTTCCATTCATCTTCCCACACCTCTCTGTCTCCTCCCTTTCTTTAGTGCTATTGTGCAGTTCAAAGTTATGTGATATATAACTTTGTTATAAAATATTACAAAGTCAAACTCAGAGGCCCAAGGAAGAATATGCTGAATTACTCCTTCTTCCTAACCCCAGAGCCATCAGTTATCTTTTTTTTTTTTAAATTTAGGTTGTTTATTTTTCATTTCAATGAACATCTACAGAGATTTTGGGATTCCATTCATTCATTGTTGCACCTTTCTCCCAACACAAACCCCTCCCCCCCCCCCCCTGCTCCTCTCCTTGAAAAGAAAAAGAAAAACTCCCTCATTGGTACACAATCCTCCCGCACGCCCCAAACCCCACCCCCTACCCCCAAATATAATCCACTCTGCAACCCTCATTGCATACTACTGCCATCAGTTATCTTAATCACTGTGGTACATCATGTTTGCTACACAGTTTGGATTTTAGATAGAAAATACTGAATGTAGTAAGTTCTTGAGTTCTAGGCAACTAGGAAAGATCTACTCAATAACAAAATGATAAATATTAACAAGTCATAAGCATTCCTGGGAAGTAACAGGTTCACAGGAAAAACAAAGAAATAAAGAAGAAATTTAATTAATAATGACTATTTAATTAATCGTGAATAAATTCTTCCCGTAACAGCCCTGAGCTCATGACATTATTAAAGTAGTGACAAACTGAAAAAGATACCTGTGCATTCCTGAAGGCATTGTTGTTGTTGTTGAGTACTGTCAGGTCAGAACCAACTCATTGCTGACCCTCCAGTGGGTTTTCAGAGGCAGTTAATTACATGGGAGCAGATCGTCCTTCCTTCTCCGGTCCTGCAGCTGGTGGATTCGAACTATATACCCTTGTGTTGATCAAACAACTCCATATCACTAAGCCACCAGAGTTCCCTAAAGTCATCACTGCTGTGTACCATCAAGTTGGAACTGACCTATAGCTGACCCTCCAGCGGGTTTTCAGAGACAGTAAATCACACAGGAGGAGAGTGTCCATTCTTCTCTGAAGGACAGCTGATCGATTGGAAACAACCAAACATCAGAGGGGAGTGGAGCCATCTTAAGTGCCTGATAGGAAGCTGTTTGGTCAGAATTATTACCAATTGTACAGTATCAGAAGTGTCAGCTGTGTGTTAACAGAACCATTCTGAAGCCCAGTTTAGAGGTTTCAGTAAAAGTTTAAGGGACAGTTAATTATTACTTTACTTTTGATTCTTGCTTGGATCTGGTGAAGTGAAAGAGGAGCATTGCAGGAAAGCTAGTGGATAAATGCTCTTCTTAGTCAGCAGGTAAGAGAAGAATTAAACAGAGTTTATGGATAGCTGAATCAAAGATTCATTTGATCTTCTGAAGAGCAACTAGAGCAAAAATTTTAAAAAGAGATTGCAAACCTGGATCAATTTGATCTTTCCATTGCACTCCAGGGCAAGGATCCAATATTGATGTTTTTCCTGGGATTTCAGGAAAATCAAGTCTAGCAGCCAACGTTCTTCTTCCTTCCAGTCTTTCCCTTCCGGCAACACTTTGAGCTCCTGTCCACTGCTGAAGTCCCAGACTTTCACAGTTCCTGAGCACAGGGAGAAAAAACTGTGGGTAAAATGCTTCCAGTGGGTCGGCCTGAAAAGATTGGGTAATAGTAAGCACAGATCAGTGGTTATTAATTTTATCCAACACAATGTATATTAGTGATTGTAAGAACCACAGTATGAATGAAGGAATGTGTAAAACATAATGTACATGAATGAAACACAATGTATTAGAATTTTGCATGCAAACCAATAAAAAGAAAATATTTTAAAAAAATGCTTCCTGGGAAAAGCTCTGCCAACAGTATATCTTATGTTTGTTGTTGTTGGTGTTGTTATGTGCCATCGAGTCGCTTGTGACTCATAGCGACCCTATGTACAACAGCCCTAAACTCTGCTCTGTCCTGTGCCAATCGCACTGTCTCTGACAATCCCATCCTGATTATCCCAGTCACTGAATCAATCCACCTCATAGAGGGCCTTCCCCTCCTGCGCGGACCCTCCACCCTCCCAAGCATGATGTCCTTCTCCAAGGACCGGTCTCTCCTCATAACATGTCCAAATTATGTTAGATGGAGCCTCAGAATCCTTGCCTCCAAGGAGCAGCCCGGTTTAACCCTTTCCAGGACAAATCTGTTTGTTTTCTTGGCAGTCCATGGTACTCTCAATACTCTTCTCCAGCACCACAGCTCAAAGGCATCAATTCTCCTTCTATCCTCCTTGGTCATTGTCCAACTCTCTGATGCATAACAAGTGATTGCAAAGACCATGGCCTGTATCAGATGCACCTTAGTCTCCAGAGAGACATCGTTGTTCTTCAGTACTTTGGAGAGGTCTCTAACAGCAGACTTTCCCATGGCAATGCACCTTTTAATTAGATCATATTTAATATTGAGTTTGTCTAGCACAGATTGCATATCTACATACATTGACTTGTCACAGACAGATAACAAAGAAAATGGATCAGGCAGTGTTTTGAAGTAAACACGTGAACATTGTGAACATGCGCTGACTCGCCTACCTGAACATCCCCTTTGAGGGGATCTGTGTTGCCTTCTTTCTAGGTTATCACTTAATGCAGAGAATTATCTTCTTAACACAGGGCTTTGTGCAGCAAGGTTAAGAATTCACTTGACATCCCTCACAGCATCTTTTAAGCCCAACACTGCCACCTTTTCTTATCCTTCAGCTATAATCCTATTGGACAGTGTGCCTTCTTTGCCTCATATCAGGGTTCTCTCCACCAGTAGTACCCACTTCCCCTATTGTTTGTTCACTAACAAGTTCATTGTTGTTGTGTTGTTATGTGCCGTCGAGTCACTTGCGACTCACAAGTTCATTAAGCATTAATTAAATTATTCTTATATACAAGCAGTGGAGTCTAACAGCAGTGGCACAATTAAGCATTCAACTACTGGCCCAAGGGGGAGATCTGGGGCATCACCCATGGAAATTTGCACTGTTAACCCAAAGGTGGTGCCTCTGGTGGTTCAAACCCACCAATGGCAATGTAGCCGAAAAGTGGGCAACCTCCTCCCATGTGATTTACAGCCTCCAAAAACCTTCTGGAAGGCCAGCTATGAGTTGGTTCCAACATGACAGCAACTGACTTTTTTGACTGGTGAGAAGGTTGGTAGTTCTAAGCTATTCAGAGCTGCCTTAGAAGAAAGTCCTGCAAATCTGCTTCTGAAAGGCCATGCCCCGTTAGTAGTTCTACTCTGAATACATGGGCCATGTGGAGTCACCACGAATAGAAATTGGCTAAATGGCAACTAATGGCACATGCCAGCACAGTGGTCAGGAGTGTGGAGAGAGGAGAACAGACGTTGGTTGTACCTGCTCTCAAGGACTGTGTGGCCTTTTAGAAAGACAATTAAAAGGAGTGATTGTGAGTTATCTAGACCACAATATCATATCTCACATTTTCTGCTAGCTTTTGGAAGAATTTTCGGTAGCCATGATTATGGGGCAGAGAACAGGGAGAGCCACTGATCAGCTTTCTTTCCTGGAAGGTGAATGAGAGGAAAGTTCAATGAGAGGAAAGTTCAATGCCTGTGAGGAGAGCTGCTCCTTTCCACAATATCCCAGGACCAGGGTCTTTGTCACCCAACACACATGTCTTTTCTTTTTTTAACATATGTACTTTTATGGAGAGAAACTGTCAATATTTATTTAATGCTTTGGAAAGATGTTTTATTTATTTACTTTTAAGGGAAAATTTAGTTTAGTTATGTGCTTGCACTTCTAAAAACCAGGCTATCACATCAAGATGCTCACTCATTCCATCAATTGACCTATAAGCAAGTATTCATATAGTTAATACATTTTTAAGAGAATAGACATATTCCAAACAATGTATTGAGATCTTCTTATGGTTTAGGTCAAGTAGATATTCAGAAATTCAGAACAAGATGAGATGAGTTGGGAGATAGTTTATCACTCTTCCTCTGAGTTCTATGCAATGAATTGAATACAGCAAGTGAATCATCAATCTTAGACATACAAACAATTCCTATGTTGTATTTTGAACATATAGAACTCATTTTGCTGCATGTTTTGACTACTGTCAACAGGCATTGAATCTTAGCTCATGTATCCAGAAGTAGAAACAAAGAATAAATTGGTGCAAACACCTTAGGTCCTAAAAGTAAGAAGCAGTCTGTGCAAGAAGTTTTTAGAAACTGTCAATCAGCTATATCAAGGTCATGTAAGGTATTGATATTCTGGTGGCCTAGTGGCAAGAAGCTGTGCAATCCCGAAGGTATGTGGTTTGAGGCCACTAGCTACTCCATGGGAGAAGAATGGGCAATTTCCTCTTATTTGATTAACTACCTCTGAAAACCCACTGGAGGATCAGGTATAGGTTGGTTCTGACTTGATGGTACTCAACCAAACAACATACTCAAAATCAATAGCTGACCAACAAGTGAGTTTTCAGAAAGAGAGTGCAAAGCACTCATACTCCAGATATTACTCTGACCATTATATGCTCCTGTGGCAAAGGTAAATCCACTTTCATCGACAGATGCTGCAGTCAGTTCAACATTGATGCCATGAGGATCTAAAATCTGGTATATCTGGAGGCCAGTCTCTAGTTCCCATACCTGTAAGAAAGAAGAAGAAGAGTAATCAAGTATCATTTTACATTTCAATTTTCATCAAAACTTCACAGTATTCAAAACTGTTAGTAAGCACTTCTCCCATCTTTCACCAGCCTCTGCTCCGAGTGCTGGTTTGGCCACGGGAGATTCTAAGTGGTGTCTTGTTGTCTGACAGTTTGTGCTCCCCTGGCTCTCCTGTTGCACAAGCAAGTGGCTGAGACCTGCAGTGATTCTGTTTCAGGTAGCTGCCCTTAGTTGTGGACGAAGTAATCAATAGTTCCTATCGGCATGATGCAAGGTTAGTAAGTAACAAGATAGAAAAGGAATAATTTAAAAATTACTTTAATACCAAGGTTATATTAATCTTGATAACATTCATCCAAATTAGCAAGGGTTACAAGGCAGAATTTGTGGTCAACTGAGTGGAATTAGAGACTTTGATGACCTTGTGCTAACCAGAAAGTCAACAGTTGGAACCCAGTAGCCCCTGCATAGGAGAAAGAGGAGGTGATCTGCTTCCCTGAACATTTATAGCCTTGGGAATCTGTCCTGTGAGGGGACTATGAACTGGAGCAACTTGATGGCAAAGGGTTTGGTTTGGATTCGAAAATACCTTTTAAAGGAGTATTGTATTTAGGGACAGAGGCCCTGCACTTTACAAGAGAAAACAAGATTTCATTATGCCACGAATGACAAATTGAAAAGGAGCAGTGTCACATTCATAGTCAAAAGGAGTATTTCAAGATCTATTCTGAAGTACAAGGATGTCAGTGATAGGACACTCATTCAAGGAAGACCTGTTAATACAGCTATTATTCAAATATATGCACTGATTACTAAACATAAATATGAAGAAATTGAGGAGGTCTACCAATATCTTAAGCATGCACTCAATAATCATTGGTGCCTGGAATACAAAAGTTGGAAACAAAGAACTGGTAGTTGGAAAATATTGCCCTGGTGACAGAAAAGAGGCTGGAGATAGATAGAATTTCCTATCTATCATAGGATATTTCTATCTAAATGGATTATAAATAATTTGTTCATTGCAAATATCTTTTTAAAAGAATATAAATGGCAACTATGCACAAGGATCTCATCAGATTGACTGCACAGGAATCAGATTGACTACATCTCTGGAAAAAGTCAATAGAGACACTCAATATTAGCATTTAAAACAAGATTAGGAGCTGACTATGTTATTATTGTCGAGTTGCTTACAACTCATAGTGACCCTATGTACCACAACTCTGAACCCTGCTCTATCTTGAGCCAGTTACACTGTCTCAAACACACTTGGATCACTCACATGCAAGTTCGAACGGAAGAAAATTTTTAAAAGTACCTAAGAACCAAAATGCAATCTTGAGTCTCTTCCAGTTGAATGGAAAACAATATCAAGAAGAGATTTGGTGCACTGAACACTAATGTGTGAAGACCAGATGAGTTGTGAGGTGACATAAAGAATGTATTGAGAAGTTATGGTACATTCACACGACGGAATACTACACAGGATACAGGAGCAATGATTTTGAAAATCACTACCTAACTTTGAGGGGTTGGAGAGCATTATGCTAAGTGAACTCACTCAGTTCCATAAAGACAAATACTGTATAAGATCATTATTATAGAAAGTTCTCACAATTTTATGGGTAGAGGGAGGGGTGGGTAAAGAAAATGGGAAAGATTTGGTGTTAAAAACAATGCATATGAACTTTGTAAGTAAATCAGTATAAAATTAAACTTTTATTTATTTTTTAAAAAAGAATATCATTTGAGAAGGAAGGAAAAGGTTGTTACAATGACAAGAAAGAAAGAAAAGAACAAAATGAATGTCAGAAGAGGCTTTGAAATTTACACTAGAATATAAAGACAAAACAAAGGGAAGAAATGTTGCAGGAAGAGACCTGAAAGAAACATTTTAAAAAGAATCTCAAGAAAACAAAGCAAAACAGTTTAATGTGCAAAGAGTTAGAACTAGCTAATCAAAAGGGAAGAATCAACTTCAAGCTAAAAGAATGGAAAAATTAGTTCAAGTCTCAAGTTGCAATACTGAAGAATGGTGTGGTTGTTAGGTGCTGTTGAGTCAAGTATGACTCAGAGCGACCCTATGAACAAAAGATCTGAACCCTGTCTATCCTGTGCCATCCTCACTCTTCCTGACATACAAGATCCCATTGCAGCAGTCACTGTGTCAATCTGCCTGATTGAGGGTCTTCCTCTCCTTCACCAACCCTCCACCCTTCCCATCATCATGTCCTTTTCCAAGGAATAGCCCCTCCTAGACAAATGTCCAAAGTAGGTGAGGCAAAGCCTCATCATTCTTGCCTCCACAGAGCATTCCAGCTGTACCCTCTCCAAGACTTTTCTGTTTTATTGGCCATCCATCAGGTGTTCAGTACTCTTCTCCAACACCACAGTTCAAAAGCGTCAATTCTTTTTCTGTCATACTTATTCATTGTCCAGCTCTCAGATGCACAGAAAGTGACCAGAAAGACCAGGGCCTGAATCAGATGCACCTTTGTCCTCAAACTGACACCATTGCTCCTCAATAATTTGGTCCTAATTGCAGATTTTCCCAGTGTAATGTGTCTCCTTATTTCCTAAATGGTGGTACCAACAATGTTAATTGTGGATCCAAACAAGAGGAATCTGTTGACAGTTTCAGTCTCCTCTTCAGCCATCATGACAGTGCCTATCAGTCTAGTGGTAAGAATCTAAGTTTTCTTTACTTTTTGATGCAATCCATACTGAAGGCTGCAGTCCTTGATCTTCTGCAACAAGTGCTTCAAGTCTTCCTCACTTTGAGCAACCAAGGTTGTCTCATCTGCATAATACAGTCTCCCTCTAATTCTGATGCCACACTCCTCTTCACAGAGTCCAGGATCTCAGATAATTTGCTCAGCATACAGTTTGAATAGGTATGGAGAGAGACAATTCTCCTTTATCAATTTTAAACCATGAAGTGTCCCTCTGCTCTGTGTTCTACTGAAGTTATTCTATGTGCAAAATCTTAAATGATCTAGGAAACATAAAACAAAGATGGTGGTGGTGGGGGACAGGAATACACAGGGTCACTGTACCAAAAAGAATTGGTGAACCTTGACACATTGCAGGAAGAAATTTATGATCAAGAACCAAAGATAATGAAGGAAGATGTTCAAGCTGCACAGAAGGCATTTGCAAAAAAAAAAAAAAAGTCCCCAAGGAACTGATGGAATACCAGTTGGTGAATTTCAACTAGCAGATGCAGGTTTTGATGTACTCGCTAGCTCATGTCAAGAAATTTGGGAGACAGCTACCTGGCCAACTGACTGGAAGAGATATATATTTGTTCCTAATTTTTAAAAAGGTCGTCCAATAGAGTACAGAAAATATTGAACAATATCATAAATAACAGATACAGGTAAACTCTTGCTGAAGATTATTTTAAAATGGCTCAAAGTGAACATTATGCTGAG